AGGGTAAATCCTCTGGAGGACAAGTGGTTAATTAAGTAATGACAGATACAGATAATAGAAAGTATAGGAATAATACTTCACTAAAGATGCTGTTTCCACCACGGAGTCCCATCTGCTTACGCAGCGTTGCACACAGGTGTTTAACAGACGCATGCATGATTGCAAACTCTGAAGACAAGACTGAGAATTACAAGTTATGGGTTTGGTAATAAAGGACTTGAATGTAAGGAAATGGTCAACTCCCTTTGCAAACTGTATGACCTTTTAAGGACTTGGTCAGCTTGCAATCACACCTTCCTAAAAGAAGAATAGTGGGCTGGCTTGTCCATATAATTAAACTCCTATAGTTAGCTAAGGTGATCATCCTTGTCTCATTATTAGATATTGTGAGCTAACATTAATAAGCAAATATAAAATATACAGTTTCCCTATCAGTGTACAATTGAAGTCTGAAAATTATATGTGGTCAATTTGTGCTGTAACATAGATGCAGGAATTTGGTGTTCCTTGGATGAATGAACTGCTCTAATCTGTTTTGTATTAATTCTGGTGGTATGATCTGATGGGGAATGTTTTCATGGAACACATTAGTCGCCATAGGGTACCAGAGTATTGTTGCTGATTGTGTGCATAGTACCTTAGCATAGGTGTACCTTTTTATAAAGCGGTCAATGAGTGTATTTAATGAGAGAGAGAGAGAGAGAGAGAGAGAGAGAGAAGAGAGCAAATATACACTATATTGGCAAAAGTCTGTAGGGTTCAATATTGGGTTGACCCACCCCTTGCAGCTATAACAGCTTCAACTCTTCAGGGAAGGCTGTCCACAAGGTTTAGGAGTGTCTATGGGAATGTTTGACCATTCTTCCAGAAGCGCATTTGTGAGGTCAGGCACTGATGTCGGACAAGAAGGCCTGGCTCACAGTCTCCGCTCTAATTCATCCCAAAAGGTGTTCTGTTGGGTTGAGGTCAGGACTCTGTGCAGGACAGTTAAGTTCTCCACCCCAAACTCGCTCAGTCATGTCTTTATGGACCTTGTTTTGTGCACTGGTTGGAACATGGCATTCATGTTGGATCAGGAAGAGGCCATTCCCCAAACTGTTCCCACAAAGTTGGGAGCATGAAATTGTCCAAAATGTCTTGGTATGCTTACGCCTTAAGAATTTCCATCACTGGAACGAAGGGTCCAAGCCCAACCTCTGAAAAACAACCCCACACCATAATCTCCCCTCCACCAAGCTTTATACTTGGCACAATGCAGTCAGTCAAGTACCGTTCTCCTCCTGGCAACCACCAAACCCAGATACGTCCATCAGAATGCCAGACAGTGAAGCGTGATTTGTCACTCCAGAGAACATGTCTCCACTACTCTAGAGTCCAGTGGTGGCGTGCTTTACACCACTGCATCCGACGCTTTGCATTGCACTTGGTGATGTGAGGCTTGGATGCAGCTGCTTGGCCATGGAAACTCATTGCATGAAACGCTCTACTCACTGTTGTTGTGCTAATCTGAAGGCCACATGAAGCTAATGACTCTGCAGACAGTTGGCGACTTTACGCACTGTGCACTCCAGCATGTGCTGACCCCGCTCTGTCATTTATGTGTCCTACCACTTCGTGGCTGAGTTGCTGTTGTTCCCAGTTGCTTCCACTTTGTTATAATTCCACTAACAGTTGACCACGGAATATTTAGTAGCAAGGAAATTTCACGAATAGACTTATTGCACAGGTGGCAACCTATCACAGTACCACACTTGAATTCACTGAGCTCCTGGGAGCGACCTATTCTTTCAGGCCAGGTTTACACTAATGCAGTGCAGTACATCGCATGTGATTCGCACAGGAACCGCACCACATTCCTGTGCAAATCACGTGATTTGTGTGCGGTGCGATTGAAGCCATACATTTTTTATGGCTCAAATCGCCCCACACCAAAAAGGTGCAGGACCCTTTTTTGGGTCCGCACTAGTACTGGATCGCATGGGTTTTTCACACCTATGCAATCCGATTCTGCACATCGCACCGCGTTTTGCGGACCGATTTCGGGGTGTTGTTAGCTTAACATACCCACCCGCATCGGTTTGCATGAACTGGGTGTGATTCTGATGCGGTGTGGAATTTTCACAGAAAACACTGAATTCCGCACCGCATCAGTGTGAACCCATACTCACAAATATTTGTAGAAGCAGTCTACATGCCTAGGTGCTTGTTGTTTGTGTTTTTTTTTTGTTTTTTTTTTACACCTGTGGCCATGGAGGTGATTGGAACACCTGAATCCAATGATTTGGAGGGGTGTCCTAATACATAATTGTGAAGTGGAAGGAAAATGATAAATGGTTTTCAAAATTTTTACAAATATTTGAAAAGTGTGGCGTGCATTTGTGTTCAGCTACGCTGAGTCAATACTTTGTAGAACCACCATTTGCTGCAATTACAGCTGCAAGTTTTTTTGGGTATGTGTCTACCAGCTTTGCACATCTAGAGTGACATTTTTGCTCATTCTTCTTTGCAAAATAGCTCAAGCTCTGTCAGATTTGATGGAGACTTTGTGAACAGCAATTTTCTAGTCTTGCCAAAGATTCTCAATTAGATTTAGGTTCGAACTTTGACTGGGCCATTCTAACACATGAATATGCTTTGATCCAAACCATTCCATTGTAGCTCTGGCTGTATGTTTAGGGTTGTTTTCCTACTGGAGGGTGAACCTCCGGCCCAGTCTCAAGTCTTTTGCAGACTAGACAGGTTTTTTTCTAAGATTGCCCTGTATTTGGCTCCATCCATCTTCCCATCAACTCTGATCAGCTTCCCTGTCCCTGCAGAAAAATAGCATCCCCACAACATAATGCTGACACCACCATGTTTCATGATGGGGATGGTGTGTTCAGGGTGATGTGCAGTGTTGGTTTTCCGGCACACATAGCGTTTTGCTTTTAGGCCAAAAAGGTAATTTTTGGTCTCATCTGACCAGATCACCATCTTCCACATGTTTGTGTCCCCCACATGGCTTCTGACAAACTGCAAAACGGACTACTTATGGCTTTCTTTCAACAATGGCTTTCTTCTTGCCACTCTTCCATAAAGGGATACTACAGTTGTTTAACCACTTCCCTACCAGGCACTTTTACCCCTTCGTACCCAGGTCAATGTTCAGTTTTCAGCACATTGAATGACAATTGGGCAGTTATGCAACATTGTACCCATATGAATTTTTTATCTTTTTTTTTTTTTTTCACACAAATGGAGCTTTCTTTTAGCGGTATTTAATTGCCACTGGGTTTTTCTTTATTGACCACTTGCTCTCCTAAGGATTTACCCTCCCTGACCAGGCCATTTTTTGCGTTATGGCGCTGTTATTTTACCTGAAAATTGCACAGTCATGCAACACTGCACCCAAATGAAATTTATGCCCATTTTTTTCCCCCAGGAATTGAGCTTTCTTCCTTCCAGCTGTCCTTTATTTTTATAGCATTTTCATATATTCCACTGTTTACCGTTTCCATACCAGGCACTTTTACCCCCTTCCTGCCCAGGCCATTTTTCAGGTTTCAGCGCTCACACTTTAAATGACAATTGCGCGGTCATATAACATTGTACCCAAACTAAAATTTTATCATTTTCTTCACACAACTAGAGCTTTCTTTTGGTGGTATTTAATCACCACAGGGGTTTTTATTTTTTGCTAAATTACCAAAAAAGGCCAAAAATTTTGAAAAAAAACCCCCACGATTTTCTTTGTTTCTGGTATAAAAGTTTGCAAATAATTGTTCTTCATAAATTTAGGCCAAGATGTATTCTACTAAATGTCTTTGGTGAAAATAACCCAAATTAGGATTTATTATTTAGTTTGTAGGAAAGTTTATAGAGTTCACAAACTATGGTATAGATCTGAAAATTTGATCAATCCTGAAGTACTGATGGCTAATTAACTTCTTGAGGTCCAAGAATGTCAGAACAGTACCGATATCCTCCAAATGACCACTTTTTGCAAAGTAGACAGTCCGACGTACTTCATAAGAGGCATGGCGAGTTTTTTGAAGTTTTTTTTTTTTTTTTTTTGTCATTTTTTTCAGAAAATTAAAAAAATTATTTTCACAGTTTTTTTTTTTTTTTTACATATTGTCACCAGTGCAGTACAGCGTCATCATATAACTGGCATGACGGTGATCAGGGACACTAGTGACAGTATGGGAAAAAAAAAAAAATATAATTTTATTTTTTTTTAATTTTTTATTACTTTTTTTAAATTTTTTTTTTCATATTTCACTATGACCAAAGTAGTACAATGTTACCATAGTAACATTGTACTACTTTGGGGAAGTGATCAGTATTTTTTTTTTTACACAATTTACTTAGAGCAAAGGATTACTTTGCTATAAGCAAGCATTTACCTGAATGACATCGATTCATTCAGGGTTTGTTTTTTTTTTTTCTATTCTAATCACATGACACAGCTGGGCTGTGATTGGCCCAGCTTGTGCATATGATCGCTGTGACCAATCACAGCTAGACACACTAGTATACAATGGATGGCATAAATGAAGCCATCCATTGTATACAGCTGTCATGTGACTTGCTGTGATTGGTCACATGGTACTGGCAACAGGGCCGGTACTCAGATCTGTCATCGGCCGTGTCCGCGGTACACGGCCAGTGACAGATCACTCTGCTGCGCGGCTCTGCAGGTGCGCAAACTGTGCATGTCCGGGAGATCGCGATATGGCGTCCGCCCGAAACGCTGAGGGATTTTGCCGGCTGCCAAACGGCCATTGGCTTGGTGGCAAAAGGTTAAACATGTCCAGTAAAAAAATTTAAATCAAATTTTATCATTTTAGGCCAAAATGTATTCTGCTACATGTCTTTGCTAAAAAAAAAAAAAAAAATAAATTCTAATGCGTGTAAATTAATTGGTTTACATGAAAGTTACAGCGTTTGCAAATGGCAGTGTATATATACTGGGATATTTTTTTTTTTTCTTTTTACTAGTAATGGCGGCGATCAGTGACTTATAGAGGGACTTCGGCAGGCATTCTGACACTGAAGGGAACTGACCTGGTGTCACTGACATCCCCAGTGACACCAATACAGTGATCAGTGTTAAAAAAAAAAAAGCACTTACACTGTACTAATGGCACTGGGCAGGAAGGGGTTAACATGAGGGGCGATCAAAGGGTTAACTGTGCTGTTTTACTTCTGTCTGTGTCAGTGTGCTGCAGTGCACAAGCTGACAGGGAGAACTGTTTCGTGTACAAAACAGTTCTCCTCCCCTTCAGAGATGCTCAGAAATCACCAGGCGCCAGCGAGTAATCGCTGGCTGGGACCCGGTGATTGACAGCCGTGGCTGCGAATAACGGTACAGGTAGGCCCCCTACCCGGAAATGCAAAATCATGTATGCCACCCTGTAGCAGTATTTCTGCTATAGGGTGGTCAGGAAAAGGTTACATTTTGCAAACGTAATTTTTCTCCTTCACTGATGTGCGTTGATGAGGCTGCACTGATATGCAGCTCTCATGAGGTGGGACTGATAGCCTGCACTGATAAGGTGGCACTGATATGCAGCAATCTGGGGCACTGCTAGGTGGCACTGATGATCAGGGCACTGATCATCATTGCCGATCTGCTTAGTGACAGTGACGCCCTCCCAGAATTGGCCACCCGCTGTAGCCGTCATTCAGCTATAGCATGGTTGGCAAGTGGTTAAATTCTTTTTTTTTTTCTCATCAATCAACACTTGGTACCCCATAATGACTACCTGAAAACAGAATTTTAGAAATGTTTGAATTTATTAAAAATACATAACTGAAATATCACATTCGCATAAGTAGTAGTCAGCCCCTTTGCAGCAACACTTGAAATTTAGCTCAGGTGCCTCCCATTTCTCTTGATCGTTGCTGAAATGTTTCTACACTTTTTGATTGGAGTCCATTTGTGACAAATTAAATTGATTGGACATAGCACACACCTCTTTATAAAACGTCTCACAGCTGACAATGCATACTGTATCAGAAAAAAGCCATAAGATCAAAGGAACTGCCTGCATAGCTCAGAGACATGATTATTGCAAGGCACAGATTTGGAGAAGGCTGAAGTTTCCCTAGAGCACAGTGGCCTCTATAATTCTCAAATGGATGAAGTTTGAAGTCTCTTTCAAGAGCTGGTCTCCCGGCCAAACTGAGCAATCAGGGGAAAGGGGCCTTTAGTAAGAGAGGTGACCATGACCCCATTGGTCACTTTGACTGAGCTCTGGAGATGGGACAAAGTTCCAGAAGGACAACCATCACAGCAGCCCTCCACCGACCTGGGCTTTATGGCAGAGTGGCTAGACGGAAGCCTCTCACATGAAAGCCCGCTTGGAGGTTCCCACCTCCAAACTTCATTGTCGGTTTGGTGTTTTTGGGTGATGTAGCTGACGTACAAAGCTGTCCATCATACTGCTCCAAACTACATCACTGACCTAATATCCAAGTACCACCCAGCACGCACACTCCGCTCCTCACAAGACGACCTTCTCTCTATTTCCCTGGTCTCCTCCTCCCATGCCCGCATCCAGGACTTCTCCAGGGTGTCGCCCATCCTCTGGAACTCCCTGCCCCAACCCATCAGATTATCACCTACTCTCCTCTCCTTTAGGCACACCCTGAAAACCCATGTCTTCAGGGAAGCCTACCCCACCCCCTGCTAACTTGCCGACCTCCTCCACTCTTCCTACCACTCCATCCCCCACAGCTATCTCCTCCTGTGCCACCATCCCCTCCTTCCTAGATTGTAAGCTTGAAAGAGCAGGGCCCTCGATCCCCTCATGTTTTGCATTGTTTTGGTATTGTTCTGTCACATGTTCTGTCCCCCTCTGTAATGTACAGCGCTGAGCGAACTATTGGCGCTTTATAAATACTGTATAATAATAATAATGTGCAGTGCCATTTGACCTCCAAACATGGTGTGTATTGTGACATCCAGAGAGTTCAATTTTGGTCTCATCTGACCAGACTATATTCTCCCAGTATTTCACAGGCTTGTCTAAATATTGTGCAGCAAAAACAAGCTTCAGCAATGTAGTCTTGAGTGGTGAGCGTGCATACAGGCCTTGGCAGTTGAGTGCATTACTTGTTTTTTTTTGAAACAATTGTACCTGCGAATTCCAGGTCTTTCTGAAGCTCTCCACAAGTGGTCATTGGCTCTTGGACAACTCTTTTGACAATTCTTTTCACTCCTCTGTGCGAGGAACACCTGGTTGTGGCTGTTTTGTGGTGAAATTATGTTCTTTCCAATTCCGGATTATGGTCCCAACAGTCCTCACTGGAACATTCATATGTTTAGAAATCCTTCTGTACCCATCATGAGTGTTTTTTTTTTTGTAATTAGACACCTTTTTTTTTTTTTTTTCTTTTTTTTTTTTATAGGCCATCAGTTGAGACTGAACCAGCTAATATTAATTTGCACTGACAAGGGGCAGGGTTGCTCTCTAATTACTGATATATTTCAGCTGGTGTCTTGGCTTTCCATGCCTTTTTGCACCGCCCTTTCTTCATGTGTTCAAAGCTCTTTCCCCCGTGTCATTCCATTTTATTACACATAACTTAATTTCTGAACTTATTTGTTTTGGTTTTTGTATGTATAGATTGCATGGATTGTTACTGACTATGTAGTGAAAATTTCATGTAAATAGCTCCTTTTTAGAGATTTGTACCAGGGAAAATGGTAACGTGTTCAATATTTTATTTTACTGTGTGTGTGCACAATTGACTCTTCTTACTGATAAGTACCAAAATGTGCTAAGTTGTTTACTGCAGAGTGGTCCTCAGAGTCCTAGTCCCTTGGCATATATCCATAATTCAGCACTCCATCAGATTGCGTGTAGTGATGATGCAAGTTTCTTGTCCTTTTGTATGTTTGTTCTGTGATGAAAAGCTCTGCTTTACAGTTTACCAAATGGGGTTATTGAGTTTAATAGTTTGATCATAATATATAATTTTTATTATGCAAAAATCTTGTCACACAAAGAAATTAGACACTTAAATGTTACTGGCCGTCTTACAAATGCTGTTTCATGAAAGCATTTGTATAAATGCCACGAACTATGAGAACAAGATCAAAGTTTATCTCATAATAGTTCTGTTCCTTGGAGATCTGTTTTGGTCTGTCTTTCTTTCCGGTTTGTTAGGTTCATCAGATTTGTTTTAGAGGACAACCGAGCATCTGCTTTCATCTTGAGCGAGTCTTGTATTGCAGATGATCCCTCCTGGTGTGTCTATGCTAGGCAACAGATGTTTCTTTTGAATTAGGGAGGAAAAATCCACCATCATTTAAGAGTGCAGTCCAGTTCCTTAGATGGCGTGGATGTTCCTCACTGTACATGTTTAAATATTGGTATGAGTATATTCTAACTTTGCTGTACATTTTGAAAATCGGTGTGGCTAAATTATTAGCATTTATTTTAAGGAGATAATGATAGAAATTTGGTTATATAGATCAGGGCTTAAAATTTCGAGTCTAGACCTACTAGCCAGGCACAAACCTTACTCTCCACCAGTTGCCCCACCCAACCTTGCCCAGGTCTGCTCCCAACCACGCCCCCTTAAAGCTTATGAAATTACATTTTTCTTTAGCATAAAGAGTCCAAAATATAAAAAACTGCAATTATAACATAGCTTTATTATGTCAATTTAAACATAACAGCAATAGCTTAATTGCAATAGGGTGCAATCAAAATATCAAGTTTTACAGCTTTAAACCTGTAGTGAACATTTTGTATATTTTTTGTTTATCTCCTGAATCTTTAAAAAGAGACTTTAGTAACTAAAGTCTCTTTTTAAAAGATGTAAGTTTAGTTTACAGAAGTATAGCATAAAAAAGTGCTTATTTTGATGTCAAAAAACATGGAATAATAGTTACTGTAAACATGTTTTTTTTTTTTTTTTTGTTTTTTTTTTTTTTATATCTTTTTATCTCCAGCAGAGACCTTAGAGAAGTGTGGCATTAAGAAAAAAGTGCCTCTTTTGATGGCCAAAAAACATTGCATAAAATAAATAACAATAGTAAACATTTAGCATTTATTTATCTCCAGCATCTTATTAAAAGAGAGCTTAGAGAAGTAGTGCATTAAGAAAAAACAAAAAAGTGCTTATTTAGATGCCAAAAAACATGGCATAACAATCGTAAACATTTTACCAAAGATGTGCTAATAGAGCAGCCATGGTTTGTGTTGTACAGCAGGGCCAAGACTTGTGTAATATGGACCTCTCCTGCACCTGTCCCCTCAGCAGCGCTGTCAGTGTAGTGGTGGTGCTGAAGAAGCCGGAAAAAAGAACTCAGCTTCACAATGAGGCTTGGAGCGCAGGTGCAGCCACTTCATCATCTGTGCTCGCCACACAAGAATTTCTCCTCGCATTTGGCGAGCCACTTTTTCAAGCCCTGATATAGATATTAGGTACTGTATCCCTTTTTGTTGTTTCAGAGTCCTCTGTGTGTGTGTGTGTGTGTGTGTGTGTGTGTGTGTGTGTGTGTGTGTGTGTGTGTGTTTCATTATATAAAATGCATGTTTTTAAAGTCAGGTATAAATAAATCTATCACTGTCATGCCATATTTTAGTGGTGTGCCCAAAGGCAGCTCATTGAGTGTCCATTTGTAGTCTGATTCCACATTCCCTCAGTAAGCTATTATGTATTGACTATGTATTGCTCATGCTGTGTCGCAATGAATGAATTGCTCTATGCAGTGTGTGTTAACAGTCACTGTGTTACTTTCACCACTACCTCTACTGTAGAAGGAAGGAGAGTAAGGCTACTTTCACACTGAGGATTTTTTGAAGTGCTTTTGCATTAAAAAAAACCCCCCTGAAATGCTTAAGAAAATGCTTCCATTTTCACACTGGGGCATTGTGCGTTCATTGTGGTGTAAAAACTCCCACTTGCAGCATCTTTGGAGCATGGTTTGTTCAGTTAAAAACCCCAAAAATGCCTTTTCCCATTGAAATCAATGGCAACTGCCTGAAAAAACGCCTCAAACACCTCTGAGAAGCTTTTTTTCGTTCAGTTTGTAGGTCACGTGTCCTTTAAAAAAACACTCAAAGCATGGTAAAAATGTAGCAAAATCCCAACCCATTCAAATAACTTGGCTGCCCTAGCTCAATTCACATCAACATGCAAACAACGAACTGCAAGGGACTGGGTTGATGTGAATGGGACCTGTTGGATATGAAGTACCTAATCACCTGCCTGCCCCTTGCCAGCTTCTCTATTCGTGAAAACATCCATCAATGAGGTCCTCGTTCGTTCCACCTCACAGCCTGAAAACATATTAAATAGAGGGGAATTTAATTTAGGAGTGATTTTATTGGCTCTTAGCAATGGCTTTCTTTCTTTCAGGCAGAGTGCTGGTGTGTATGTGATA